TTTAGCCTGAGCGCACTCCCTGGGAGCACGCGGCACCACAATCCGGTGCCCACTGTGTCTGAAGGAACACCGATCACTGTACAGGACCTCAGTGATCACATAATTAGTAGTAAGCAAGATGTCACTTCTGACATCATTGCTTACTACTTGTGAAATCTGTGAATGATCACATGGTACAAGGCCTCACAAACAGCCTTGTACCATGTGACAAGCTGTGACCAATCACAGTTCTCACAGTATTTCTCAATGGCTGCAAGAATGCAGCCAGAGAGAAAGAGAAATTATTGCTTTTACAGCCTTTATAGGTGTAAAAACAATCAGTGTAAAAAAAAAAAAAAAAAAAATCATCCATTAACCCCCCCCCCCCCCCCCCCAATACAGTGCCACTATGGTGGCACTGTACTGCTGGTGACACTGTAAAAAAACTGCTAAAAAAAAAAAAAAGGAAAAAAAAAATCAAATAAAGTAAATTTCTTTTTAAAGTAGAAATTTTGGTTATAAACTAATCTGGGTTATTTTTTTTTCACTAAAAAGAATCAATACATTTTGGCCAAGATCTATGAAGATTTCCAAATTTTTATAAGAAAAACACTAAAACTTTTTTTGGAATTTCATGTATATAGCAAAAAGAAAAAAAAAATCAAAATCCCAGTGGTGAATAAAAAAAAAAATAAAGTTTTATCTATCTCAAAAAACCTAAAAAAATTCATATGGGTACAGTGTTGCATGACCGCGCGCAATTGTCATTCGAAGTGTGACAGCGCTGAAAGCTGAAAATTGGCCTGGACGGGGGTAAAAGTGTCCGGACTTGAAGTGGTTAAAATAATCACATATCGAAGCTTTGCAGTCTGAAAAGAAGACAGACATGGTTTTTGTTTTATCCAGCTGTATTTACTATATTTTGTTGAACCACTTTTTGCTTTAATTCCAGCCTTTAGTCTGTTGGGATATGTCTCTACTAACTTTGCATATCTAAACATTGCAATATTTGCACGCTCTTCTTTGCAGAACTCAAGTTCAGTTAAATTTGATGGTGAATTTTTGTGGACTGCAGTCTTCAAGTCATTCCACAGATTTTCAATAGGGGTTTAAGTCTGGGTTCTGACTAGGCCATGCAAAGACATTCACCTTTTTCTCCTCCAACCACTGTGGGGTCATTTTTGCTGTGCACTTTGGGTCAATGTCATGTTGGAAGGTAAATTTTCTTCCCACTGACAACTTTGAGGAAAATCTGCTGTCTTCTGCCAGAATTTGACTGTATTTTTCCCCATCCATCTGGTCACAACTTTTTCCATGTGGCCTTAATCTTCGAGTTGCATTTTGGCAAATCTCAGTGTGACTTCACGTGGAGCGTCTGTTTTCTTGCGATTCTCCCATACAAGCCACATTTGTGGAGAATTTGTAATGTCACATGCACACAATGACCACTCTAGGCAGCCTCTCTGACTAGTTTCCTCCTGGCTCTTCCATCCAGTTTGGAGTGATGTCCTGATCCAAGGAAGGTCTGCATTGTACCAAATACATTCCACATCCTAATAGACTTCACTGTGCTTCTAGGCATTGATAAAGCCGTTGAAATGTTTTTGTATCCATCTCCTGACTTGTGCCTGTCCACAACTATATTGCGAAGATCTTTTGACAGTGCCTTGCCTCCCATAGTTGACTGTTTACTGCAGTTGAACTACCAGAGACTGAAATGCTCCAGGAAAGCTCTTTTCATGCTGAGCTAATCAAAATGACTACAGCTGATCACAGTTGAAAGTCAAATGGCTTTGTGAGTCCTCATGCACACTTGATGTTTTTACAGCTGCTGTTTTGGGCTTTTGATGGGTTTTTTCTCTACAGCTAGTAAACCCCCAGCATGTTATCCTGTGTCCATGCACGCAGACTATAATCAACGTTTTTTGGCTGGGAAAAAAAATACCCCAGGACTAGTGGATTTCTAGCGTTTTTAAGCTGTAAAAATGCTCTAACGCTGAAAAACGTGGCAAAATGTGCAAACCAGTGTTTTTGGACCTTTTTTTTGACAAAAAAAAAAAAAAAAGCTTTGGTTAAAAAAAACAACAAAATCGCTAAAAAACGCAAAACACGCTAATTTTCTGTCCAATTTCCTTTAGATTTACCTTCAACTATGTAGTGCAAGAGCCTGCCTAATTGGATACAATCGAAAGTGTTGTTAGCTTTGACCTGCGATTATATGGTTTTTGGTAAATCTAAACCAAAAATCTCAAGAAAACTGTATAATGTATGGCCAGCCTAAGCCATTGAGAAGGTGATTAGCTACACCTGATTGAGTAATTTTTATGAAGAGGGAGTAAGTGATGCTTTTTCCAAAGCCCCTTTCACACAGACGGTCGATTGGGTCTGCCTCCCGTTTGTTTTCCGGCAGACCAGATCAGAACCTCTATTTTCCTCTATGGAACAGTGGGTGTAAACGGACATATCTGTTTATACCCGCCGACATTTGATCTGCCAACAAGAGAAGGATGGGGATCCATTCCCCTTCCATCGGATGGAAACAGACAAAAACAGGGTTCCGCTACGCCTAGAGTGACTGGGCTTTACAGAGAACTGCTTGGAGCCAGAAGGAAGAGCAAAGACTGCTGACAATGTAAATAATAAAAGCATTATGGAGAGTACCCAGCTGGCTGTATATATATATATATACACACACACACACATATATATATATATATATAATACACACACACACATATATATATAAATATATACACACACACACACATATATATATATATATACACACACACACACATATATATATTATTTATACACACACATACAGTAATCTCCCAGAAGTGAGTACAACCCCTCACAATTTTTTGTAAATATTTGATTCTCTATTTTCATGTGACAACACTGAAGAAATGACTGATACAATGTGATGTAGTCAGTGTACAGCTTGTATAACATGTAAATTTGCTGTCCCCTCAAAATAACTCAACACAGCCATTAATGTCTAAACCGCTGGTAACAAAAGTGAGTCCACCCCTAAGTGAAAATGTCCAAATTGGGCCTAAAGTGTCAATATTTTGTGTGGCCACCATTATTTTCCAGCACTGCCTTAACCCTCTTGGGCATGGAGTTCACCAGAGCTTCACCAGGTTGCCACTGGAGTCCTCTTCCACTCCTCCATGACATCTCGAAGCTGGTGGATGTTAGAGACCTTGTGCTCCTCCACCTTCCATTTGAGGATGCCCCACAGATGCTCAATAGGGTTTAGGTCTGGAGACATACTTGGCCAGTCCATCACCTTTACCCTCAGCTTCTTTAGCAAGGCAGTGGTCATCTTGAAGTTGTGTTTGGGGTCATGTTGGAATACTGCCCTGCGGCCCAGTCTCTGAAGGGAGGGGATCATGCTCTGCTTCAGTATGTCACAGTACATGTTGGCATTCATGGTTCCCTCAATGACCTGTAGCTCCCCAGTGCCGGCAGCACTCATGCAGCCCCAGACCATGACGCTCCCACCACCATGCTTGACTGTAGGCAAGACACACTTGTCTTTGTACTCCTCACCTGGTTGCCGTCACATACGCTTGACACCATCTGAACCAAATCAGTTTATCTTGGTCTCCTCAGACCACAGCACATGGTTCCATTAATCCATGTCCTTAGTCTGCTTGTCTTCAGCAAACTGTTTGCAGGCTTTCTTGTGCATCTCTTTAGAAGAGGCTTCCTTCTGGGATGACAGCCATGCAGACCAATTTGATGCAGTGTATGGTCTGAGCACTGACAGGCTGATCCCCCACCCCTTTAACTCCTGCAGCAATGCTGGCAGCACTCATACGTCTATTTCCCAAAGACAACCTCTGGATATGACGCTGAGCACGTGCACTCAACTGCTTTGGTCAACCATGGCGAGGCCTGTTCTGAGTGGAACCTGTCCTGTTAAACCGCTGTATGGTCTTGACCACCATGCTGCAGCTCAGTTTCAGGGTCTTGGCAATCATCTTATAGCCTGGGCCATCTTTATGCGGAGCAACAATTCTTTTTTTTCAGATCCTCAGAGTTCTTTGCCATGAGGTGCCATGTTGAACTTCCAGTGACTAGTGTAAAAGAGTGAAAGAGATAACACCAAATTTAACACACCTGCTCCCCATTCCCCCCTGAAACCTTGTAACACTAACGAGTCACATGACATCGGGGAGGGAAAAATGGCTAATTGGGCCCAATTTGGACCTTGTCACTTAGGGGTGGACTCACTTTTGTCGCCAGCGGTTTAGACATTATGGCTGTGTTGAGTTATTTTGAGGGGACAGCTTTTATTAATTTACACTGTTATACAAACTGTACACTAACTACGTCACATTGTATCAGTGTCATTTCTTCAGTGTTGTCACATGAAAAGAGAATAAAATATTTACAAAAATGTGAGGGGTGTACTCACTTCTGTGAGATACTGTATATATAACACCCCCACATATATATAATATATATATATATATATATATATACACACCCACACACCTACATACATATATACACCCACACACCTACATACATATATACACACACACAACAAACACAAAACTACCACATAATACACACACAACACAAAAAACCCCAAAAAATATATATATAAAATATAATATATACACACACACACACAACCACAAATTACACAAAAACACCCAACCCCATATTATATAATACATATATATATATACATACATACATACACACCCACAACCAACATACCATATATACACACACACACACACACCTACATATTTATACACACATATATATACACATACACACCCACCTACATACATATTTATATATACATACAGCTGCCAGCCATACAGAGGCCGGCGGCCTAGTGAAGCCCTATGCCAGGCTGAGCCATGTAATAACCTCCCCCCCAATATCCCCGTCCTGAGAACGTTCAGAGCCCGGCCCGCACGGTCCGGCCACCCCCGGGCACACGGTGGCTGCGGCGGTGAGGATGGAGCCGGATGGCGGAGCGGATGACTTACATTTTCCCGGCCTTTCTCTGCCTCTCTTTCCTCAGGTCGGACAAGCCGTCGCGTTCGCTGTGACGCGAGGCCGCCATCCTGCCGCCTAGAAAACCTCCGGTCGCCTTGCGGGTGACGTCACCACGGGTGTCGGGGCGTGGTTTAGGCGCTTTAAAGAACCTTAAAGAGGCAGAGCGCCTACCAAGCACATGGTTGGTTAGAGCGGGTGGGTAGGGGAAGGGTTTAAAGGCTGCGAGGGCCCCGCCCATTGGGAAAGTTACTCCCAGAAGTCTCCGCTGGTTCCTTGTTCCTCTGTAAACAAACAAAGACAGATTCATAAAAAAAAAAGGACAGCCGGGATCACACAGGTATGAGGGATCCTTATGGAGCTGTAATATGGAAATCTGCCTGGGTGCTGGAATGTGTTTACTGGGCAGGTCAGCTACTGGGGGGGGGGGGCATAGGATCGTGTCTGTTATATCCCCCCCAGTCTCCAGGGACAGTCCCATAGTGTGAAGATCTGACTGTCCCTTTAAATTAAATGTCTCTGAAATGTAAGGCGCCTTTAACTGTACATGGGGTCACATTGTTCTCAACACCACTGAGAGGTCCCTGGAGGAGGACGGTGGGGGGATGGGACTACACCCAATTCTTATTAGATGATCAGGCAGGCTTGGGATCTGTCATTAGGAATTACACTTTTTTAATTAAGTTACATTATTATTATAAAGTAGGAATACAGGCAAAAAAATTTTTTAATGTTGGCAAGAGAAAGGGAAGGTGATGACCCCTCTTGGGATTTTTTTTTTTTTTTACATCTGTGTCCCCGTTGGTGTGATTTCCCTTCACTTCCTGTCCCATGGCCAAAACAGGAAGTGGGACGATATCCCTCCAAAGTGACAGAATCCCTGGTTGCACCAGGTGAAGCTTTGCCCTCTATTCCTCTTCAGCTGACAACCCAAAGTTTGGGATTTTCTTTCACTTTCAGTGATCATGGTAAACAGAACAAATAGGGTGAATTTCCTTAATAGGGACACAGACAAATAAAAACATGACAGGGGTTCTAATCTGTTTCTACTCTGTCCAAAACGGAAATAAAAAAATAGTTTTTGCCTTTCGTTATACATTAAATATATGGAAAAAAAGCCAAAATGTGTTTTTTGGGTTTAGGATAGAGTGTCCCCGATTGGAAAAGTTAGGACCTCTCAGGTTTGTTTGCTATCTGTGTCCCATAGAGGAGATTTCCCTTCACTTCCTGTCCTCTAGAAGTAAGAGAAAATCTCTCCAAAGTAAGGAACGTCCCTGTGAAAGAGGAGCTCCAGTCTACCATGTAAAAAATTATAAGTCAGCAGCTACTAAATCTGTGGCTGCTGACTTGTAGTAAACAGGCACTCACCTGTCCCAGGATCCAGCACTGCTCACCCGAGCCTTTTTCACCTCCCATCCTCTGTCCCGGAACCAGCATCTTAGATGTGGGCACCCAGCTGTGACAGCTTGCAGCTTCACTGTGCATTGTGAATGGTCCTGCAGTCTTGTGGGATCTGTGACATGTCCCAAGTAATCAATGGACTACAAGTGGGGTGACTTCACCACCCCTGTGCTCCATTCTGATCTATGAGTCCCTCCACCGTAGCGTAGACGTGTGCAATTAGTTTTGTTATGAATCGAAATTTTGACAAAATTTTTGTTTTTGGCAATTCAGATGTATCCGGAATTTCAGAATCACAGTAGTACCAAATTTCAACAAATCCGAAATAAATTATAACAAAATTAATAATTCAAATTTTGAAAATAAATTTGAATTTGAAAATGGATTCAAATTCGAAATAGAAACACGTTGCAATAAATACAGTAAGGTATAAAAGTGAAATAAGATGATGACTTAGGCTGCTGAATAGAATAGAATAAAGAAGAATAAAATACAGCAAATCTAAAAGAATATAAAAGAATAGCGTAAAAAAAATAATATAGAATGAAAAATAGCAGAATAAAATAGAATAAATCTAAAAAAGAAAAACGAAACAGAATAAATAATATAGAATGAAAAATAAAAAAACAGAATAGAAAGTAATATAATATAATCTAAAATAACAGAATAGAACAAAACAGAATAGAATAATATAGAATGAAAAATAAAAAAACAGAATAGAAAGTAATAGAATATAATCTAAAATAACAGAATAAAACAAAACAGAATAGAATATTATAGAATGGAAAAATGATAGAATAGAAAATAAAGGAAAAAAATTGAAAATAAAAGGAACAGAATAGAAAATAAAAGAATAGAATAGAACATGAAGGAATAGAATGGAAAATAAAAGAATAGAATAACATAGAATAGAAAACAAAAGAATAGACTAAAACAGAATATTACTGTGTTCCGAAATTTGAATTTCAATAGAATAAAATAGAATATAGCGGTCTTCTGAAATTCGAATAGAATAAAATAAAAAAAATATAGCCATGTTCCAAAATTAGAATTTCGAAATTCGTATTGATTCAAAAATAACAAATATACTAAAGGAATCCAAATATATGAAATGAAGTCTGAAAACGAATCATTCTAATATAACGAATATAACAAAACAAAATTATTATCTTCCCCAAACAAATCCGAAAAAAAACAAATGTTTTCATTGTGCACGTCTCTAGGGACTTGTAGTCCTCCATTGATACCAATGTTGGGGCACAATTCCTACCAGTGACACCAATGATGGGGCACAATTCCTATTAATGTTGGGGCACAATTCCTACCAGTGACACCAATGATGTGGCACAATTGCTACCAATGACACCAATGATGGGGCACAATTCCTATTAATGATGGGGCACAATTCCCCCCAATAACACCAACAATGGGGCTTTGTTTACTCAGATGCCGGGACATTTTCTACTCCTGCCACAGCCCGGCCCCCTAATTTCCGAAGAACAGTAAACTGTCCCTTTATTTAGAAAGTTTGGAGACCTCTGCTCTATGCTAAGTAAAAAAAAAATTGGGCTGGTGATATTATTTATTACAGATATTTATATAGCACTAACAATTTACATATTGTACATTCACATCAGTCCGTACCCTCAAGGAGCGTACAATCTAAGGTCCCTATATTACATACTATACATACTATACAGTGGGGCAAAAAAGTATTTAGTCAGCCACCAATTGTGCAAGTTCTCCCACTTTAAAAGATGAGAGAGGCCTGTAATTGGCATCATAGGTAGACCTCAACTATGAGAGACAAAATGAGAAAAAAAATCCAGACAATCACATTGGCTGATTTGGAAAGAATTTATTTGCAAATTATGGTGGAAAATAAGTATTTGGTCACCTACAAACAAGCAAGATTTCTGGCTCTCACAGACCTGTACCTTCTTCTTTAAGGGGCTCCTCTGTCCTGCACTCATTACCTGTATCAATGGCACCTGTTTGAACTTGTTATCAGTATAAAAGACACCTGTCCACAACCTCAAACAGTCACACTCCAAACTCCACTATGGTGAAGACCAATGAGCTGTCGAAGGACACCAGAAACAAAATTGTAGACCTGCACCAGGCTGGGAAGACTGAATCTGCAATAGGCAAGCAGCTTGGTGTGAACAAATCAACTGTGGGAGCAAAAATTAGAAAATGAAGACATACAAGACCACTGATAATCTCCCTCGATCTGGGGCTCCACACAAGATCTCACCCCGTGGGGTCAAAATGATCACAAGAACGGTGAGCAAAAATCCCAGGACCACACGGGGGGACCTAGTGAATGACTTGCAGAGAGCTGGGACCAACGTAACAAAGGCTAACATCAGTGACACTACGCTGCCAGGGACTCAGATCCTGCAGTACCAGACGTGTCCCCCTGCTTAAGTCAGTACATGTCCGGGCCCGTCTGAAGTTTGCTAGAGAGCATTTGGATGATCCAGAAGAGGATTGGGAGAATGTCATATGGTCAGATGAAACAAAAATAGAACTGTTTGGTAGAAACACAACTCGTCGTGTTTGGAGGAGAGAGAATGCTGAGTTGCATCCAAAGAACACCATACCTACTGTGAAGTATGGGGGTGGCAACATCATGCTTTGGGGCTGTTTCTCCGCAAAGGGACAAGGACAACTGATCCATGTACAGGACAGAATGAATGGGGCCATGTATTGTGAGATTTTGAGTGCAAACCTCCTTCCATCAGCAAGGGCATTGAAGATGAAACGTGGCTGGGTCTTCCAACATGAAAATGATCCCAAACATACCGCCCGGGCAACGAAGGAGTGGCTTCGTAAGAAGCATTTCAAGGTCCTGGAGTGGCCTAGCCAGTCTCCAGATCTCAACCCCATAGAAAACCTTTGGAGGGAGTTGAAAGTCCGTGTTGCCCAGCGACAGCCCCAAAACATCACTGCTCTAGAGGAGATCTGCATGGAGGATGGGCCAACATACCAGCAACAGTGTGTGCCAACCTTGTGAAGACTTACAGGAAACATCTGACCTCTGTCATTGCCAACAAAGGATATATAACAAAGTATTGAGATGAACTTTTGATATTGACCAAATATTTATTTTCCACCATAATTTGCAAATAAATTCTTTCCAAATCAGCCAATGTGATTGTCTGGAATTTTTTTCTCATTTTGTCTCTCATAGTTGAGGTCTACCTATGATGCCAATTACAGGCCTCTCTCATCATTTTTAAGTGGGAGAACTTGCACAATTGGTGGCTGACTAAATACTTTTTTGCCCCACTGTATATTAAGGCCAATTTGGACAGATTCCCAGCATATCTTTTCAGTGAGTGAGGAAACCAGAGTACCCAGGAGAAACTCAAACAAGCATGGGGAAAACATGCAAACTCCCCCTAGGGGGTGTCCTGGTTGGGATTCAAACTGAGGATCTCAGTGCTTTATTTATTTATTTATTTCAGGTACCTATATAGTGCCGTCAATTTACGCAGTGCTTTAGATATATATTGTACATTCACATCAATCCCTAATCCTCAAGGGGCGTACAATCTAAGGTCCCTAAGTCACATTTATACATACACGGGACAATTTAGACAGGATCCAATTCACCTACCAGCATGTCTTTGGAGTGTGGGAGGAAACCGGAGTATCCGGAGGAAACCCACACAAGCACAGGGAGAACATGCAAACTCCAGGCAGGGGGTGCCGTGGTTGGGATTTGAACCAATGACCCTAGTACTGCCAGGCGGAAGTGCTAACCATTTAACCACTGTGCTGCCCACTTTAAGGCCGACGTGCTAACCACTAAGCCACTGTGTTCTTTGGCTTCCATCACCCCTAATTCTTTGTCTTGGTATACTTGTACTGATATTCCTTTACTCTTCTTTCAAAGCAGCATACAAAGTCCTAACTTTCTAGAGGGATGGGTCGCCTGGATGACCACGCGAAGCACAGGATTGTAGTGTTGAGGAAAGCCGGTCTCAGTTTCCGGAAGATCAAGAAGGTCCTCGAATTAGACAATATCAAGGTGACACCACAAGCCATCTACCTCTTCTTGAAGCGTAAGAAGATTGAACCGGAAAAGTCATCCAGTACCTCTCAGAACCCTACTACGAAAAGTCAGGGCTGGGAACAGGCTCAGCTCTGCAGTTTGTTACAGGAAAACAGCGGGCTGAAAAAAGATGGAGGCAGTCAGGTGGCCAAGGAGAGAAAGACAGCAAATGATGTGAAGGAGGAGAGCCAAGAATCCGAGATCAAAATAGTGAATGTGACTTCTCTCTCCAGTGTGAACCAGTCACTTGCTCCACCAATCAGCACTTCAAGAAGTATCCCCCAAGGGCAGACTGTGCAGGAGACACGTAAGTCCTTTTGGGAAATCGTTTTTGTAGCCCTAGTTGTGTAATTAGAGAACGACGTGAAGTTTTGTTGGGTCACTAGGAAAGCCTTCCACACATATCTACTTGGGTCTCCGTGGCCAAAATCTCATGATGGAATGGAAAGAGTCTCATCAGTCAGCTTGATTGGTGTTATCTCTAGAGCAATTAAGAACTACAAAAAGAGAATCTAATTGGCTGATACAAATCTTTATTGCAGTCTTTGTCCACACTGTTGTTGTGCATCCTTTGCCTGTGCACTGGTGACCGCTGTCGCTGGGAAAGAAAGTGATGGTAAACCGAAAGTTTTAGTTGTTACAGAAGGTGAAGAGAAATCTTCCAATGGGAAACTTGTCTCGATGTCTAAATTCCACTTTGTAGATATTTTGTCTTACTTCCTGTTGTGTCTCCTTAACAGGAAATAAAGCAAATTATTTTCACTGGGACACAACAAAAACACTAGCTTGACAGAGGCTTTAACCATTCCCTATTCCAGCCTTTCTCAATCAGGGTTCTTTGCAGTCCTACAGTTCCTCCAGAGTAGGGCCGAACTTAAAGTCTTACTAAACCCACAACAGTACAATCAGTCTGTATATGCAGTAAAGCATGCTTGTTATACTCACTGTGGAACCTAAGGGGTTAATCCTCCACATTTGTGTAAAAAGGCTGTTTGATCCTGTCTTCTCTGATCCTCTCCTTCTACTGTTCCCAATCCATCTGCTGATAGTACAGAGCCCTAGGAGGCACTCTGCGCATGCCCAGTTTGGTGTGTATTGCTTGAGAGGTTTTTTTCAGGTGATCAACACAGGGCCAATCAGCACTCTCCAGCTAGAGGGTCAGAGGTCATACAACCTCATAGGACAGTCAGTGGAGAATCAAAACTCCTGATACAAGCTTTAACCAGTGCTCAGCTGGGCATTGATAGAAGACTGCTATATAGTGCTGATGATAAAAGGTATTTAGCAGTTTATATTTACAAAACAAATTGCATTTCCATGTTGTGTGTACTGTGGGAGACCAGATATAGTGAATGCGGGGTCCGGGGAGACCGGATATAGTGAATGCAGGGTCCTGGGAGACCGGATATAGTGAATGCAGGGTCCTGGGAGACCAGATATAGTGAATGCAGGGTCCTGGGAGATCAGATATAGTGAATGCAGGGTCCTGGGAGACCAGATATAGGGAATGCAGGGTCCGTGAATGCAGGGTCCGGGGAGACCAGATATAGTGAATGCAGGGTCCTGGGAGACCGATATAGTGAATGCAGGATCTGGGGAGACCGGATATAGTGAATGCAGGGTCCGGGGAGACCAGATATAGTGAATGCAGGGTCCAGGGAGACCAGAATATAGTGAATGCAGGGACCGTGGAGACCAGATATAGTGTATGCAGGGTCTGGGGAGACCAGATATAGTGAATGCGGGGTCCGGGGAGACCAGATATAGTGAATGCAGGGTCCTGGGAGACCAGATATAGTGAATGCAGGGTCCTGGGAGACCAGATATAGTGAATGCAGGGTCCGGGGAGACCAGATATAGTGAATGCAGGGTCCTGGGATTAGTAATACTTTAATTCTGCTCAATAATAACTTTGTTGGGAAGGTCCTCAAGTATGTAACATATAGAAAACAAAAACCTGGCTCAAGAATAATAGATACAACTGCTCATGAAATAGGTCTCTTACAGACAGGCGTCTGGGAAGTGGTAAAAATCGGCAGTTGAGCTGTGGTTTTACTGCCCGTTAACTTCCGCAGGAAGAACTTGGCCAGGTAGCAGAGTGGCAGGAGAGTGTCAGAACATCTCATAGACACTTCTCTCCCATCAGAACCGAGCCTCCCTGCTGTACAGTTCAGCCCCTCAGGTACTATCATTCCAGTTCTTGCAGCTCTCCTCATGGACAGCTGTGCTCAGTGAGTAAGCTGACAGCTTAGAGAAGCATGCTGACAGTGGAAGCATTGAGGGCCTGATAGGGTCATTCAAAGGGCTGGATGTGGCTGTGGGGGCCACAATTTGCCAGATCTGCTCCAGAGTTTGCTAGTGGTTGCTTGAGCCATCAGCAGTTTCTGCATCTAATATAAGTAGTCACCGACACCAATGATCTTTTTAAAGCTGGTTTCACATTGATCCTAGCAAAAAACATGGCAGAAATGCATGTGCATTTTTGCCGTGTTTTTACTGCTTTTATGGTGCGTTTTTACAGGACATGACTCAAAAACCGCACCAAAATGCCTCACCGGCGGTTTTGCCTCATTTTCCATTGATTTTGATTATTAAAAGCCAAAGAAACTGCGCTTAAGTGAAAAACTAAATTGTGTTAAAATGAATCAACCAATTAGCAGCAGGCTGTACTATGAGATATATATCACAGTTTATCATTAATTCTAATACATATAGTGGCTTAGTGGTTAGCACGTCGGCCTTAAAGTGGGCAGCACAGTGGTTAAATGGTTAGCACTTCCGCCTGGCAGTACTAGGTCGTTGGTTTGAATCCCAACCACGTCACCACCTGCCTGGAGTTTGCATGTTCTACCTGTGCCTGCGTGGGTTTCCTCTGGGTACTCCGGTTTCCTCCGGGTACTCTGGTTTCCTCCCACACTCCAAAGACATGCTGGTAGGTTAATTGGATCCTGTCTAATTTGGCCCTAGTATGTGTATGTATGAATGTAAGTTAGGAACCTTAGATTGTACACCCCTTGAGGGTTAGGGACTGATGTGAATGTACAATATATATGTAAAGTGCTGTGTAAATTGACAGCTATATAAGTACCTGAAATAAATAAAATGAAGGTAAAAAATGTTTAGGCTTTAGAACCAATTTTAAGGGTCAGTCCACGGAAAACTGATATTTCACTTTCCAAGTAGTTCAATAGTTTTTAGAGAGATTAGTTGTATGCATAGCCAAAAAAAAGTCTTGGTGATCTTTTTCACCGAGTTAGAGAGTGATGAGAACTCCAAAAGTTTACAATTGTCCCCAGAACAAGAGGTATGGGTATATCTCCTGCTGGGCACACCTGTTCGAATGACAACTAAAGCTGGCCACACAGGGTTTGGTTTTTTTTTTTTTTTTGTTTGTTTTTTGTACAGCCAGTGCGCTGAGCAAAAAAACCTAAAAAATTCCAATTCCAGGTGCATGTAGGAATAACCCAAACCACCCCTCCCTATACGCCCGTTGAGGGTTAGGGACTGATGTGAATATACTGTGTGGATATATATATATATATATATATATATATATATATATATATATATCGCTGCGTAAATTGATGGCGCTATAGAAGTACCAGAAATAAAGAAATAAATAATACATCAAGCCGTGCTGTAAAATGTTCAAAACTTATTCCAAGCGTTTAAAAAAAACCTTAATAATAAAGCGCATTAACCAACATATGTATTAATATTTGTAATACATCAAGTTCCACTATGAAGTCTTCAAAACTTATCCAAGTGTTTAGAAAACCTTAGTATTAAGGTGTATAACCATCATATATTTTTACAGTTGCAAGAAAAAGTATGTGAACCCCCTGGGATTACGTGGAGTTTTGCATGAATTGGGCATAAAATGTGCTCTGAACGTCATCTAAGTCACAACAATAGAAGAACACAGTCTGCTGAACATAATACTACACAAACATTAGATGTTGCCATGGTTTAATTGCACATAACATGTAAACATTCACAGTGCAGGGAGGAAAAAGTATGTGAACCTTTGGACTTAATAACTGGTTGACCCTCCTTTGGCAGCAATAACCTCAACCAAACGTTTCCTGTAGTTGCAGATCAGACCTGCACAACGATCTGGAGTAATTTTGGACCACTCCTCTTCACAAAACTGTTTCAGTGTAGCAATATTTTTGGGATGTCTGGTGTGAATCGCTCTCTTAAGGTCATGCCACAGTATTTCAATCGGGTTGAGGTCAGGACTCTGACTGGGCCACTCCAGAAGGCGTATTCTGTGCTGTTGCAGCCATTGGTTTGTTGAATTACTTGTATGCTTTGGGTCATTGTCCTGTTGCATCACCCATCCTCTGCGGAGCTTCAGTTGGTGGACAGATGGTCGTACATTTTCCTGCAAAATGTCTTGATAAACTCTGGAATTCATTTTCCCATCAATGACAACAATCCGTCCAGGCCCTGAGGCAGCAAAGCAGCCCCAAACCATGATGCTCCCTCCGCCATGTTTTACAGTGGGGATGAGGTTTTGATGTTGGTGTGCTGTGCCTTTTTTTCTCCACACATAGTGTTGTGTGTTCTTCCCAAACAACTCAATCTTGGTTTCATCTGTCCACAGTATATTTTGCCAGTAGTGCTGTGGAACTTCCAGGTGCTCTTTTGCAAACTTCAAACGTGCTGCAATATTCTTTTTGGACAGCAATGGCTTCCTCCAAGGTGTCCTCCCATGTACTCCATTCTTGTTTAATGTTTTCCTTATTGTAGATGTGTCAACAAAAATGTTAGCATGTGCCAGAGATTTCTGTAGGTCTTTAGCTGACACTCTGGGATTCTTCTTTACCTCATGCAGCATTCTGCGCTGTGCTCTTGCAGTCATTTTTACAGGACGACCACGCCTAGGGAGAGTAGCAAGAGTGCTAAACTTTCTCCATTTGTAGACAGTCTGTCTTACCGTGGACACATGAACATCAAGGCTTTTGGAGATACTTTTGTAACCCTTTCCAGTTCATGCAAGTCATCAATTCTTGATCGTAGGTCTTCTTAGAGCTCTTTTCTGCGAGGCATGGTTCACATCAGACAGTGCTTCTTGAAACCAGTAAACCCAAAACAGGTGTGTGTTTTTTAAGGGCAGGACAGCTGTCAGCAACACATCCAATATCATCACACTGATTGGAGTCAAGGTTGGCTCACTCCTGGCTCCAATTAGCTCTGGGAGAAGTCATTAAGCTAGGGCCTCACATACTTTTTCCTCCCTGCACTGTGAATGTTTACATGTTATGTGCAATTAAACTATGGCAACATCTAATGTTTGTGTAGTATTATGTTCAGCAGACTGTGTTCTTCTATTGCTGTGACTTAGATGACGTTCAGAGCACATTTTATGCCCAATTCATGCAAAACTCCACGTAATCCCAAGGGGTTCACATACTTTTTCTTGCAACTGTATATATCGACCAAAGGAGGATTGACAAAAATTATATAAGTCCACACAGTGGAGGCTGCCACACCGCTAGGCATATTCACAAGGGAGAACCGGCATCTTTAGGACGACACTGCATATCTCCATCACTTTCATTCTCATATAAAAACATAGGGATACATTTATTACAATATAAAAAACACACAATATTTAAACTGAAATTGCGCAACATAAATTCCTCGTAGCCAGCAAAGCTCACATAACAGCTGCACTTCCCGGAACGTAAAAACGCAATGTCACCAGCACACAGCTCCGCCCTACGCGCTCTTTCAAACATGACATTGTTCAATGGGGAGGTGTGTTTTTGGTGCATTTTTTTTTTTTTTTTTTTTTTTTAAACCTGCACCAAAAATGCAGCAAGCTGGATTTTAAAAAATACACCTGATCCACAACAGATCAGTTTGACGCATTCCATAGGAATACATAGTCACATGTTTTTTTTACGCAAAAGCAGAATAAAATCAGATCAGTTTGAAACCAGCCTAAGGGGGAAAATATTCCCACTGGCCACAAATATAAGCATTCTTCCCACTGAACACCCTGTTAATGTCTTGTGAGCTGCAGATACGGTACTGATTGGCAGGGGTCCCCTAAGAAATGAAAGTTACGTCAAGGGTTCCTTCTTGTTAAACAGGTTTTAAAAGGCTGCCCTGTTCCATCTAAAATTAAAGTAAAAGATTTTCACACATAAAAAATAAAATTGATACAATATCATTATAGTGTTATAAAAAAAAAGGATTGAAAATGTTTGCAGCTGTAGTTTTTTTTTTTTTTGGCACAATAGCTGTCTGGCCCTGATATTTGTCCAGCCTTTCACTGGTCTTCTTCTCTGTATTAGAACCCTGCCCTGTCCGTTCTGCCCAGAATCCCATTGTGAATGGACCCCGACCCAACCCTGCCCAACCAACATCTCACCATCTTCTGAATGGAAGAGCCAGGACACCTTTGCCCGCACTTAAGAACCCAGCACTGCTCGTCACCAAGAAGATTGTGGACAGAGCCATCAACTTACAGAAGAAGGTATACAGTGTGTTGTGCTGTCAGTCTCTCTGTTTTAAACTTTAAAATATGATGTGGTTCAACATGTGATATTTGTGCTTCTGGTGGTTGTTTTCATCAGGTCATCTTCCAAAATGGCCTTCAGCTCTTGATTCATGGAGGAAGTTATCCACTTACTGCATCAGCCACCAACCAGCAGCCTGTGAGACCAGTGGCTCCACCTAATCGTCAGGTACAGAACACTGCCTCTATATGCTGTGGTCAGCAGATCCGATACAAAATATATGTGTCACCAAGAGGACATTGTGAAATTGAACATGATGTATATAGTGATTTACTGATGGGAGTTGAGCTGTAGGAGTGGGGTTGTGTCTTGTCCATCCTTTATTTTTTCTCACCATATTTACAGCATTGTTTGTACCTGGTCACACCCACATATACTTTACATAATGTAACCCCACCTAGACTAATTGGACCACCCAAAGCTGTTCTAGAGTATTTGCATAGCTCATGAGTTCTAGATGGCTGGAAAATTACTATAGACCATAGGAAATATACCTGGCTGTTGTTTCCGACTTACCAACACACTCGCTTGAGCTTTGCGATCATGTTGTCTTGGAAATTCGCTTTGAACGAATTTCTCCTTACCGTGAGTACTCGCAGTTGGATGCGCAGCAATCCCCCATAAAGCTGTGCGAATCTCGCTTACCACGACTGCAGCTAAACTCCACGATTCCTGCGCCTCCAACTGGGTTAGCTATCTCAGAATTGTGGGGAAATGGAGCTCCAGGTACCCAGGAATGATCACACAACACTCTCAGGTTGCTGTTGGAATTCACATAGAGACGGATCCAATCCCAGCCTCTGATTTTTATTACAAACACACACACGCCCCCCACATGAGTCAGGTCAATCCCCTCCCACAGAACAATGCATGGGGAGTGCCTATACACAGGATGTACATTCCGATTGGAGCGTAGCCTTTCCTCTTATCTATCACCAGTCCTCCCCCTCCCTCCATGAGCTCTCTGAGGGAAGCAACCTTCCCCCTCTACACCAGTCCTCCCCTGCCCCCATGAACTCTCTGAGGAGAGCAAACTTCCCATTCTATTAGCTCCTAGTGGTATGTAAATTCTCTGTACAAGCATCCCCTAGATTAAACAGTGTCAGTCTGTATCTGAATGGGCCCGATACGATCTTTAATAAAACACATCCATCCAGATACAGTTTCAGGTCGGTAATGGCTTGTAAGATATACATGAGCCTGCACACGGAGTTCGCACTGCTTGGCGCCTTGCGGTACGAAGTCCATGTGCTACTATGCTGCTGATATGTGGATACAGGCCCGCGGCCTACCGCCGGCGGCATTCACATCGAATGCCGTGGTGGTATACACGCCGGTCTATAAGCGCAGATCTGCCATCTCATCCGTTACCGAGCTGAGTACTGTAATACATACATTGTAAATTCGCATGGCCCAATTGCAGCCTTCAGAGCTTTAATTAAGCCACACGAGAGACATATGAATAACACTAATATATGACACATTTAAAGTTCAACCTGTAAATACAAAATTTCCATGACAATGTGACTGCTTGAAAAAAAAAGTAAAAAAAGATATTTACATTGGGAATTATTACAATCTGTCTGCAGCAAATATAAAGGCGGTGGGGAGGCAACATTTGAAAGCTGAGTTACTGCAAATCCTATTTTTTTGTTTACAGCTGAAGTTTTGGCATTACTTTTTTGCATAGTTACATTGGTGAAGCTTGGAGCAATGTAAGTGTGTGTGTGTGCCATACCTGTGGGATCGCTGTTAAAGTTAGGAACTGCTACTACAGTGATCTCCACTAGCTTCTAGGTGCCATGACGAATGGCTGCCCTGCTGCATTATGAACACAGAAGGTGATGCCAACAACCCACCTCTTCACTTCGTTCAATCATAGTACACGTTACATTCATTGAGAAAATGCAATGTGTTCCCTGAACAATGGCTATGCTGAGTGAACTAAGCACTAGAGCAGTTGCTCAGCATGGGACCTGAAAGCTATCGTCGATCACTGTAGTAGCAGTGCATTTGATAGTGATTTCCAGCTTCCACAGGGTTTGACCAGGTATGGCACATACATACTTATGCAGGCCATATATGGTTCGAATTCCGGACGATTTTTCATCCGAAAATCGAAACCGTTGTTCGCTCGGTAATCCAATGGTGCCATCAATGATTTTGAAAATCGGCCGACCAAGTCATAAAGTTCACCCCATATAACAGGCAAAACGTCTGTTCCTTCTAGGTCATGGCTCATGCTCATATTCTTTTCAGGAAAATGATCGTACAGTTTGACCATCATTAAGTCGAAAATCGGTCGTTTTTCATGAATTTTCCAACATGCCCGATCACTGAAAAGGGGAGGAAACCACAAAAAACGGCCATTGACCCACTAACAGAGCGAAAATCGGCCGATTATTCTTAGGTCCAATTTTCAGATGAAAAATCAGTCGAATTTCAACCCATGTGTGGCCAGCCTTACATGGGTCCAAGCTGCAACAATGTAACTGTGCAAAAATAGCCATACCTAAACTTCAGCTTTTTTTATATTGCAACAACGAGGTCACTTAAGCAGTATCTCCATTAATCATTTTGGATATTTCAATTCTTCAGGTGAAAGATGCCACCACACAGACAGCTTCCTTTCCCCAACCCAGGACAGAAGTCAGTATGGAACAAATGGACTCTATAAGAGGGGAGATCCACAGACTGACACAAGTCATGCAGTCTCTGATTGACAGGCAGAATCGTTGGGAACAAGAACAAATGAGGCAAAGACAATGTCACCACCAGGAAGTGCTGTCCCAAATCCAGCAACTGGGGGCAACACTTGGGGCAAAGATTACTCAGAACTGTGCCTCATTCACTGGAAGCCAGGAGCTCGATGCCTCTCTTCCTGATCTGGGACATTTCAAGATGGAGCTGTAAGAGAATGGTCACTGAGCTGGAGTGCTGCTTTCTGTAACTGAAAACAGACAGTGAAAGTAACCCCTGATGGGAGACACTATGTTTATAACACACTGTAACTTCCTAACTGGAATACACAAGGGCTTATCATTTAAAGCCGTAAAAAAAAAAAAAGTTGGGGAAGATATATGAAAGTGTTGGGTCTTCCAACCACCACCTCCACTACAGAGGATCACCCTGCACTTCTGCACTACAGTAGCCATGGGCGGTCATGGTGAAACTGTCATGCTCAACTCAACACATTGGACATGAAACTCCACCCATTTCTACTAAGCCCCATCTGTAACAGACCCTACCGGGACAGGGGCTTTTGGAGGGGACTGCAGGCTAGCCTCTTGCCTATTAACCTTTGCCTTGGCATCTGAGGGGGCTCTGTTCTTTGATGTGTGCCTGGGGGGGACCTTTGGAGCAACTTACTTCAGATTCAAGGCCAAATCTCCCAAAAACATGGACAGGGACGGGCTTTTGAAGGGGACTGCATCCCGCTCTGTCAGGGAACAGCTTCCTTACCACTGGGGCACTAAACTAGATGAGACTAGCCTAAATGCCAAACTGGAACTACTTTATTGAACAGAAATACAGTTTTTATACATTCCAGAAATAGGGGCAGCCCCCACAATAAAACAAATATTACACATTGAGATAAACATCCCATAATGATGACTATAATGAGGTGAAGCTGACATCAGAGAAATCTCAACATGCAGGAACCTCCAAGAGGACTTGTCAACAGACAAACAATGGGTGACTCAATTAACTCCATTAACAACGAGAATGCACACCTAGGCAGCACACAATGAGAGAAAGTCAGTAAATACATAAAACAGATTACATCAAGAGTCCTCAGGATCAGGTTTGTTTTGAGCTGATTATATTAACATCTTCTTAGAGTGTCTGAGACTAGGGGGGGGTTGAAGCAGTCAATGTTGTTTTGGGCAGAGAGCCCCAGAATCTGTATCCTGGTCCTCCAGTGCTCAGAGTCTGTGTGTTTTGGGGAGATGTGGCCTTGAATCCGAAGTAAACTGCTCCAAAGGTCCCGCAAGGCACACACCAATGAATAGAGCCCCCTCAAATGCCAGGGCCCATGGTCAGTAGGCAAGAGGCTAGCCTGCAGTCCCCTCCAAAAGCCCATGTCCCTGTTGGGTCTGTCACACCATTCATTTGCTACAGTATATTATGCTATTTGGTGTAGCATATTGGATTACCATGACATATGTATGAAGCGGTAGGTAGGTAGGAACTCGACTTGGAATGATGCTGCCCAGAGTATGTAAAGCCCAACTCCAGCCTTTTTTTACATTTTAGTTTTTGACAGCGTGGGGAAGAGATAAGCTCTGGGGGGTATTTACAAAGTACTTTAAGGCAGAAGTGCTAACGACTAAGTTATTGTTAGGGGTGTTTCTCTAAAACTGGAGAGTGCAAAATCCGGTACAACTCTACAAAGAACCCAATCAGCTTCCAGGTTTTATTGTCAATGCTTAATGAACAAACTGAAGTTAAAAAGATGATTGGCTGCCATGCACAGCTGCACCAGATTCTGAGTTCTTCAGTTTTAGTAAATCTCCCTCTGTGTTACGTTGCCTACTGTGTCTATAGTTTGGGTTATTTTTTAAAGGACAAGTTCACTTTTAACCTCTTCACGCCGGCCGCACACAAATGTGCGGCCTCCCGGCATCTGGGCCTAGACGCCGAGTGGCCGCACAATTACAAAAAACATATGTGCTGAGAGCGCGCACCCTGTGCGCTCCCAGCACACATGTGCGCTACTCACGGAAAGGTCCCGGTCTGCTCTTTTGATCAGGACCTTTCCCGATCATGTGACCGTCGTGACGACGCGTCACGGCGGTCACATGATCCCTAAACCCCGCCCCGTCCCGCCTCCCGGCTTCTGAAACTCTTAAATGGCCGGGAGGCGCCGGCAGGTTAAGAAATAACTCCCAGCCCTCCTCCTTGGCCTCTAAATTATCCCCTATGATGACACCCCCACCCAGGTGTTTTCTCCTCTGAATTTGTTTACATCCTGGCCAGCAAAATCTAGTACATGGTATGAAATCTAGGTCTGCACAATAGAACACTCGACACGTATCCCATTAACATCTACAGGGTATTACTGCACAGGCAGTGGCATTCTAGATTTTGCCAGCTGAGAAGTGGACAATGTGGGAGGCTGCTGCTGTCAATGATGGTAAGTAACCACCTTGCTTGGAGGGTTTTTTTTTTTTTAACTTGTCCTTTAAAGAGACCCTGTCACCAGACCATTCATTTCAAAAACACTCTTCCCATAAGGCTATATGTACATTTAATGTATTGTATGCATGTTATTTATCTGTGAAAGTCTCCTTTGTGTAGACACCCAAAAGCCCTGAGACTGATGCCAGGTGCCGCCATCTTAGATGTGATGTTAGCAGCCCCAGCAGACTCAGGGCTGTCACAAAATTGAAACTCTATAGTATTCCTCTTTGTCTCTCTCCAAACATCTACATGAAAGGTTATGTAGGAAGCTTAAGGGGAGGGGTGAAGGAGCTGGAGCAGCACAGACTGCCATTCGAGGAGAGGGTTATGACATGAAAGGGGGGAGTGCTGGGGAACTGACACTTTCTGCTGTGTCCATTCTCTAGTAGGTCTGGAGGCACCACTACAAGTCAATAAAAAATGTTTATGGAAGGGGAAAACACTGCAAATAAACACTTGATGTTTTATGCTTTTACCTGCAGTTGTTTTTAAAGTTGGTGGCAGGGTCTCTTTAGGCATGCCACACTGGAACACTTTTCATAGTGAGTGGGGATTGCCTATTGAGTACATCTTGTGGATATATAAAAGTATAATGACAGTTATGATTCTAGATAAAGACAAGTGAAAACACTATTTTGTTTTCTTTCCAGTTAGAAATTGACAGTTACATTCTTACTGGTTACTTTGGGAAGGACAGGCTTTCTCATTTCAAACACTTTATCTTACACATGACGCCCACAGTGCTTTGTTTCCGGGATGTTCTGAAACAAATGACAACCTCAACATTTCTCCAACAGTTATTAGAAAGTGAAAGTCAAGGTCTTTATTTTTTTGCTATGGGTACAGCACTTCTACACACTTTACTATCTCCTGTGTTTTAGAAGGCATATTGCTGGTCATTAGTTGTTTTCTCAATTGAGGAGAAAGGGACATGTTTTTTATTTGTTGTAAAAATGTAATTTTTAAATGCTATTGTATCAGCTAACTTTAATCTAGGCACATAAAGTGCAGTGCCTATGGGCAATTTTCAATTTCCTTTTAAAGTGTACATCATCTGAAACATATGTGTGTATTTTCCCATGTTTTATCGCTTTAAAGGTTCAGAAAGTACCTTTCTGATCTGCCAGAAATGCTCTAATTTCTGGTTCTTGTTGGGGACTGAGTGGTGTCAGCCCTGCTCAGTGTCTTTTGCTAAACTATTTAATACCCCTTCCACCTATCCTAGTCTGAACAAAGAAAGGACTAGTTATTTGGTAGTCCTGGGATAAATTGGAGTCCATGCACGCTTGCTTAAAGAATGCTGCCACGTTGGCTTAAAAAATGCTGCTTCTAGAGGAGTTTAGTGTTTAGAAGCAGATGCCTGTAGAAGCAGCACAATGTTATCCTATGTGTCCATGCACATTAGGACATTTAGAGCATATTTTTAACTCCGCGTTTAGAAGCAGAAAAAAAATACCTTCTGTTGTTAAACGTTTTGAGAGCAATTTACTGGCAGAAAAAAAATGCTAAATGTGCCTAAACACTAATACACAAAACTGCTTAGCGTATTTGTTCTTGCAGGACATTTTTTAGGTCAGTGTGCATGGACCCTTAAAGTGCATGTCCAGCCAAAACTTTGTTTTTTAGTTTTGGATAGAACAAGGAAGGGTTAGAACCCTTGTTGGGCTTTTACTGCGATCTTGGGCTCCATTAGAAAACTTGTAGACTTTGTGTGCTGGTGACAATGGGTTCAGCAGGCCGGAAGGCTGGGGGAACAGGGGCATCTGCAACAAGCAGGCAAACTAGCCTTTCCCTATACTACTAAAATAAAAGTTTTATTTATGTCTGCATTGCTGTTGGCGATTTACCCTCATTTCCTATCTAGTGAAACCATTGCCACCACGACAAGAAACAGAGAAAATCTCTCTAATATACTCCTAGATAGCAGTTATTTTTTTATCCATCAGGGGTTCTAACCCTTCCCTACTTAAAGTAAAACAAAAAAAAAACCTGAGCAACCCTTTTAAGGTCCGCATCCAGGCTCCTCACCAGTGCCCCTCCCATCGTAAAGTAGAAACAGTTACTTAGCCTGGGTTCACATAGGTGCGGGACCGGCTTGCAGTGCGATTTTTAAGACCCGCACCAGTGCAGTTTTGGTTGGCGGTTCGGGTGCGATTTCAATGCGAACTGGTAAAATGTAGGAGATTGGAAATCACACCTGAACTGGACTGAAAATCGCACAGAACTCTTTCAAATCGCTGTGTGGCCAGCCCACAAGTATGTAATCAGGCTCCACAGAAAAGCCTTTTGGGTCATGTAATGCAAACTGGTGCGGTTCAAATGAATCCGAATTCGCATATATGTGAACTGGAGCTAACTGTTCTTAAAACTGCGCCCACTCCTCTCTTAACACCTATCCTAACTAACCTGTTTAACAAAAATGCATACACTTATGTAATTTCACACCGCTCCTGTCCGGTCATGTGATTGGTCATCCATCAGTTACCTTCAGGGGAGAGGAGGGAATGCTAGTTAGGCCAGATGGGTCATAGCAAGCTTTTGGGTGATGTCAGTAATCGGGTATTCCAGCCATTGACGGATCGCTCTCTCCTCTCCCCTGTAGCGCTGGCTGAAACAAGGAAGGAGCACATTACCACACTGGAGCAGCGTGAAAATAAGTGAGCATATGCATTTTTTTTCCTACAGGTTAGTAAAGGTGTTAGATGAGGTATGGGAGCCATTTTAAGATG